CCTCTGTGAGACCCTCACATTCCCTCACTCCACACCACTAGATTCCCAGTAGCCACATAGGGACCACTTCTGGGGGGAAAACTGGCACATTTGTGCTGTATGGTTAATGCAACAGTGGTGGTGTTCCTGAGCTGGTGATCATCAGTGTCACGGTACAAGATGTGGAGAGGAAGCTGTGCAGAAGCAAGCTCTTTTCTTGGTACAGCAATGCTGCAAAACTTCATCCTTTGCTGGTTTTTATCTTAACCTCCCATGCCATGATAGGGTGGATAAGCCTGTTGGAGGTACCTATCTATCCACTGATGGCAGAGCTGCCTCAAGTTTAGCCACCTCAAGCTGAGGTAGCAAAAACATATATGAGACAAATCCTCCCATCTCTCTCTGCTGACCAGCCATCACTACCACCCCTTTCTATGCTTTGGATGGCCTTACCAGTACGTCCCCAGCTGCCCCTTTGGTCCTCCAGCATTAGGATGGAGACTGCAGATTTTTAGTTCTTGAGGTGCTGCCCATTGGCATGAACTAGGTTGTTAACACCTCTTGGTCTCCTAAGAAGTTAAATATTTGAGCAATAGTAAACTCCAGGTTGTAGGAAAAAGGGAATTAAACTTTAAAATTAGATGAGAAAAAGCTCTAAATGCTGAGGTATAGATCATGCCAAGGAAGTAAGAGAAGCAAAAGGAAATACATCCTTTCAGCTGAGGAAGCTGAAAAGCTCCTCGCTATCCCCTTGGATCAGTCTGAGATAATAAGGCTGCTGCCTTTCTGATTAGTGCTCTGTGGCCCCAGCCCAGGCAGGGAAAATCTGCATTTCAAATGGCATATTTTAAAGAACACAATACCCAGGGGCCCTGCTGCTATTGATTTGCCTCTGGTGGGGTCACTGCCTCACTTTCTACAGCTTTATTAACTGGGACCATGCACTGGGCCTCTTTCAAAGTAAAAGGAGAGTGGATGGGACATTTGTCTTCAGGGGGAGCTGGGGAAGGAGTGGGGTGACTTTTATTGGGAATGCCTGGAGGTTTTTGTAAGGGAGACTGGTGACCCTCCCAGGACTTGGCTTCCTTTTGCAAATTTGCTCAGAGCCACCCTGGGGGGAAGGAGATAGATTGTTCTGTCAGCTTCTTTCAAGGTGACCGAGTCCCTGTCTTCTCATCCCTGTGATGTTGCTGCACTTGGCCAAGCTGTGACCATCAGCTTCTGGGCTGGGAACGACCTCCCTTCTCTTCCCCATTAGGAAGGGTATTCCAATTTCTCAGAATGGGAAACGTGACTGCAAAAGGGTGGCAGGAGTAATATCAAAGGTTGAGGTGTCCAGACATGTTTGGTGCATGGTTTAAGCCCCCTCTGAGGCAAAGAAGCAAACCTATTTAGCTGGGGTATATGGCTGTGTTCAGATACAGGATGCTATACTCCTTTCAGCTTAGCAGGAGACCCTGGTTTACCCATGGGCTGGCTCTGAAGGCTGAAGAGAGGTGTACATCCTCTGGGTCATAAGGTGTAGGGCTCCAGCTCATTTCAACATACCAAAAGGTTTTCCAGGTCTCTAGGGCATCTTGGAATGCACATCTGCAGAGCACTGAGCAGGACAGAAATGGGGTGGCCTGCTGTTGCAGAAGCAACTGAATCTTGTTTCCCAAATCACAGGTTAGGTTCTTATTTTAAATGTGGTAGCTTTTCAGCACTAAGCTAAATTTAACCTTTTTTCTCTTTGAGTTCCTAATTCTGTGGGAGTATGGCCAGTTTTAAGTGACTGTTTCACTGAAACTCACCAGGCTTCAGGCTGCAGACCATTCATCTTCAGCACTAATCATGAGATTAGGATTATCTAGTTCTTCTCATAAGGACAGAGAAAATATGTTCTTCTTTCTGAAGGTCTGTGGCAGAAGTGCATGAATGACATTACACTACAAAAAGGACCATACATGTAGCCAAGGTACATTCCACAGGCATGCATCTTCCAGTGCAAATTTATAAGCCCTCTGAACACACAAAAAGTCATACACTCAAGTTGCCTGGTTTGCAAACCAGGCAGAGCACCTTCTGTTGTGGGGTTAACTCTGAACCATTTGGAGACATCTATAGGCAGGAGAAGAAGTTGCATAAGTCATAAATAATGTTGAAAGTGATTGCCTAATGCAAAATGGAGATTGTCTTTGGAGCACTACAATCATTTGTACTACCACTGGCAATGCGGTATCTTTTAAAGAGAGCCCTGTTTCTTTTGCAGCACAGGTGAAACACAAACAAAAAATGGATTAACACTTTTCTTTTAAACAGTTGTGAACCAAGGCCCAGAAGTATCTGCTGAGGGTAGGGGTGGGAATGATTTCATCTGGCTGTGTTGCTATGTGCACTTAGAGCTCCACATACTCTCGATAGAAAGAAACAAAGCTGCAATTCACCTGCCCAGAGGCTTTAAGGTGCAAAAGAGAGAGGTGAGTTTTGGCCTAGAATCCGAATAGGTGACCAGCTCAGAGTAAAACCCCATGTGTATCTAGTTTACTAAATCTTGCGATGGGAAATGACAAAACAAAAATGGGAAATGACCCTGTCTGCTCTAGAAGGTTTGTGGTACAAATACCAGGTTGTTACCTGATGGTGATACTGATCACAGCACACACACAACCAGCCATATGTCACTCCATGGTTTGCGGTGGGTTTGCTCATGCAGCTCTAGTCAGCTTTTGAGTAACACAAAGAAAAGTCAGCAAAGGCCAGACTGGGCTGTCCTCAGCCCTTGCAAGTGTGTCCATTTCAGAGAGATGCTTCTTTGATCAGCAGCTCCAAACAGTTCCTATAGGTTATCATTTATGCAACCAGCCAGTTATTTCTTCAGCTGTCCCCAGGTGAAGATACCTAGCACAGAAAATGAGGTATGAGTCCATACCCCCAACACTGGAGTCAATCCAGTGTTAAAGATGGATGGATTCTCCCTTCCTTATTCGCTTCGCTGGCATACTTCCTAAAATCACCTGCCCAGTGCCTCCTCTGGAGAATAAAATCAAATGATGCCTAGAAACAAATGTACTCCTTAAGTGGGAATCAGCATTGTGCTATAATAGAAAAGATTGTCTAATCACTCCATCAGTAATTACAAAGAACAGGATATCACTAATTAAAATGTGAAAGTGTCTTATACAGGGTACAATAAAAAAGGGTAATTAACAATCAAAGGGAAAGCCACCACCTTACCACCAATCTGTATTAGGCTTCAAAAACTAATAGTACTCAGCTCTAGTACAGCACTTTCCATCTGTAGATCTGAAGGCACTCCTCGGTGGGGAGGCAGGTATCCTGTGTCCTATTTTATCACAGGAGAAACCAAGCCAGGTTTACACAGCTTGTGCACAGGTACACTGCAGATCAGTGGCAGAGAATCCTTGACTTTGGTCTCCTCGCCAATAGTGACAAGGAAAGTTTCAGCATTAGAATAAACACAGTGATTTCAAGGATTTGTTTTAGTGTGTAAGTGTACGAACAGGTAATTTGGATAATATTTCAATATTAAAGCAAACAGTAGGGAACAGCCTGTTCCTTCCCATGGCTTTTGAGGGCTGTTTAAAGCTGAGAGGTATGTCCTATGTGCTTAAACAACATCATCAGACGATGATTTCCTGATGGAGAGAATGAAACCACAGAAAGCACAAAAACAGAAGTACTACAACTCTGGAGACAGCGAAGACATAGAATCATAGAATCACAGAATCATTTAGGTTGGAAAAGACCTCTGATATCATCAAGTCCAACTGTTAACCCAACACTGCCATAAGCCGCTTCTAAAATCACTACAGAAAGTATCCTTCTCCACTATTATCATCAACTCATGCATTACCAGAGGCTGAGGAATGAACAGAGTGAGATTTCCGTCTGCTCTTCCTCTTTCCCCCACGCTTTCTCTAAGGATCCACCACTGGTCACTAGGAGGGGCTGTATATGGGCTCAGACTTACTTTGTTTGGGTCTTCATACAGCACTAGGGAGACAGACAAGAGGCAGCTTCCTCTAAACTGTCTTCTCACACCAGCAGCATTTTAGAAGCCCACTTCAGCCATTCTATACACACAAACTACACTGACTTGTGTTCGAGGTTCAGAGAGTAAAATAATGATAACAAAGTCTGGTTTTAATGTACGAAGCATTTCCAGCAGGCATAACCGTTCATCACCCTTCTGCTTCAAAAGAAACACAGCCTGGGTTCCTTATTTCTGCCTTTCTGCCCTAGAAGAGGCAGCATTTTGATCACTTTCTGGCGAAAAAAAAATACTTTGGGACGTCATCCCAGATCAAAACCACAGGGAAAGGATTTTCCCACTACACAATATTAATCGTTAAAGTAGGAGAGCTCCCATCTCTTGAGCAGCTCTTTCAGGAGTCTCTGCTTGGTTGTGCTGGAAATAGGTGCTATAACCTGGTTAGAAGGTTTGGTTACGCTGTTGTCCAGTGCCCACTAGAGGCCTCCCAGAAACACGTAAGAAAACTGTTTTTGTCACTGACAGATGGAAACAAATCAGGCTTCCCCAACAGCTCTAGACAAGCTTGCTGCTCTGGAAAAGGCATCCCTCATCCCCACTACTCTGCACAGACTGGTATCCCATCATCAGCCCCAGTGCTTTCCCAGAGCTTTGATACAAGCAATGGAAGCCATGAAACCTCCCTGCTCAAGACCATATAAAGTCTTTTCTCTGCTTTTCTCAGGGAAGTGCTGGGAAGCCAGAGGGTTGAGTCCAACTCATGGGAGACCTCCACACTGGGGAACACATCATGGGGATGGGGAGCGTAAAGATGCCAAGATGCAAAGATGCACTTTGCCTCCAGTCCCTGTATGAGGAAGGAAGGCCAAGGCTGGGGTGTACCGCAGGCATGCTGAGCTGACCTCTCCTAACAGTCTGGCTCACATCCTGCCCTGGTCCCCATGCTGGTGCCGGTGCCACGGTCCATCTTACCGGTGACCGCGTGATGTTTTTTCCCTGCTCTCTCTCTTTGTTCCAGCTGATGCAGCAGCAAGCCGCGATCATGGCGTCAGTGGCGCAGGGCGGCTACCTGAACCCCATGGCAGCCTTTGCTGCAGCCCAGATGCAGCAAATGGCAGCCCTGAACATGAACGGGCTGGCTGCTGCTCCCATGACACCAACCTCAGGTAAGGGGGCAGTGGGATGGAGAGGGGACAGGGTGGGAAAATCCTAGAAGAGACCTGTTAACTGATAGGTCTTCCCTAAGCGGGTGTCTATTGAAATGTTGGTCTTGTTGTAGAGGGTCACCAGAAGTGAGGAGTGGAGCTGATCAGATCCTTTTGTGGTCTTGGAAAAGGGGAAAGTGGCAGAGGAAGGCTGTCACTGCCTCTTCCAGGGCTGGGCCAGCTGCAGGTCAACTTCTGCACTGTGAAGTAGTTGCAAGGGTAAAGACAAAGGGCTCACCAGCAGTGGGCTGTTGGGCTAGATGTGTCCTGTGCTGAGAGGCACTTACTCGTGGGTGAGGAGAAGAAGAGGGTTGAAACCCATCAGAACCAAGACACAAAGGCTTCTTGGGGAGGAAAAAGGGTGCTGACAGAGAAGGCACTGGAAAAGGCTCTCAGACACAACCCTTCCCTTCAACCTTACCCCTTACAGAGCTTTCCTTTAGCTCTAGTACCCTGCAAATGTCACAAAACATCCCCCAGTACATATAGATACCTAAAGGGTCAGTGCTGGTGCTGTCACAGCCAGGCTGGTACAAAGACAAACAAAATAAGGTTTGTTGTGAGATGCAGTATCAGTAACAAGATGAGCTATGTCTTTGGGACACAAAAGCCTTTTCCCTGCTTTGAAATGGACAGGAGGCACTCAGGAAAGATCTCTGGAATGCAAGTGTTTGGTGAGAGGATTTTTGGCTGCTGGAACAGAGTCAGTGAAGCACTGCCAGGATCTGGCTAGGCTGCAAGGTGTCACAGGAGCCCATGCTAGGAGCCACAGTATATGATTCAGTGGACAGAGAATAAAGCTGAGATGGAAAGAGGACTGGCTTTCCTAGGGCTTAAAGAATAAGGAAATCACATGGGCAGGAACAGGACAAGGAACCAACAGGGACAGGTTGAGATAAGAGGGTCCCTGAGGTGATGCAGGTTGTTCCTATGAGAGGCACTGGAGATAGGACTGTGTTTAGACAGATGTGACATAGCAGTGCCTTTGTGTGAACCTTGAAGCATCAATCTGGCCTGGAGGGGATGAGCTTGACAAAGGTTTGGCATAAGACATGGGAGGAGTGAGGTCTGACTGAGCCAGCTGTGGTGCAGGCAGCATTGGCAGAGCAGGATCTGGGACTCCAGATCAGAGCAGTAAGAGAGGATGGGTCAGCTTCACTGCCAGACATAAAGAGTTCTGCAGCAGCCCTGGAACAGGAAAAGGCTATTTTAAAGAAGCCAGGAAGGATGCACTGGATGGCAGGGCAATAGGGCACCACAGCAATGCAGGCTGGGGTGCTGCTCCTGGCCAAGTGAGTCCTGCTAACCTATCTGCCAAAGAAAACCTCCCTTAGCATCTCTTTGCAATGGGTGGCTGGAAACAATGTCAGGAGCTACTGGATCAGATACCTATCTTTTCCTTTGTTTGTATTAGAATATGAAGGGGGAGAAAGGGGAGAGAAAGAAAGACAGATTTAATTTCACACAAACTTATGAAGACCCAAGGAAAGCACTTGACTCAAAAATCTCATACCACACATTTCAAAATACATGTTTACACAACGATAAATGTATAAACAACAAGTCGATGGAGCTACTGCAAATCCAAATAGAAAAGTGGCTTAATTATATGTGCACCCTTTAAACCCGCTGCCGGAAAGATTATCATATTTGCATTAGCTAGATTTGTTTTGTGTTGGTGGGAGCAGAGAGAACGTCAAACAAAGACTGCCTGGAATTCAAATGTTCCCAGGGCCTGGAGAACTGAATCCAGTCGATGGTTTATGATGTCCCCACCACAAAAGAGCACAAGCTCTTGTGCATATAAATGTCTTAAGAAAGAGCAAGTTCTATGAAATAGGTGTGAAAATACCAGTAGAACAGCCAAATCCTGTGCCTACCATGATATCCAGGACATGAAAAATAACCCAGCCCTTCTTTGGTGTAAACCCTTCTCCCCTTCTGGTGTGCCTGGTGCCTTTTGGGGACTGTTAAACTCTTACTATCAGAATACAGGAGAGGACAGCTCATGGTTTTTACTTGCTTTACAGAGCACCCATGGCTGGTCAGTACTGAAAATGAGATCCCTTGATCTTGTTCATGGTGGTAGATTTTGCAGTCTCCTTATGACATGATTTCAATCATGGAAGTCTACGCATTTTGGCATTACTACAGATTTATGTTGAATGGGTACCTTCCTTCATGAAAAACCTCTGTAACGGGTTGTGGAAATGTCCATTGACAATTATTCCTTGGGTGAAATGTTTATATTTTGAAATGACTCCTTGTATTAGTACAACATTCACAAAGCTTGTGATAAGATGCATAGAAAATGCTTCACATAACGTCTGAGCAAGGAAGCCTACAACAGTAGCAGCGATTTCTGAGTAGCCAGGAGATATCTGAAGCCTAACATGAATTCTCCTGCTGGCTTTTGTTAGCATTCAGAAAGCCAAATGGAAAATGATCATTCTGCTTCATAGCAGGATTTCCAGTCATTGAAGTATATCTTTGTTCTGACTTAGAATGAAAATGAAACATTTCAAAGTTCTCTGAAAAACAGGCATTAGAAAAAGCGTTTGGAACATTGAAAAAAATTGAAGTGTTTTGATCTTTCCTAAGCAAAAGAAAAATTGTGCTAGAAAAAGGACACTGGTAACCCAGAAGTCCTAGAAGCTTTGGAGCTGAGCACAGTGCCTCTGTGCTTCTATCTTCAGGCCTCCTAATCCAGCTGTTTTTCTGTGTGTCCTGCCTCTAGGAGAGTGGGTTCCTTGGGACATGGCCATGAGTTCATTCAGGCTCACGAGTTCCCATGGTACGTAAGAAAGAGTTTTGGTTCCAGGCAAACCTAACAGACTAGAGACAGGATCCATCTCACCTGGTTTAACTACACAAAAGTTAGACATTTAGTTTAAACTAGTCACTGGGTTTGCTTGCAGTCAGTGGAGTGCAGTAGGCAGTCCCAGTGGGTAATTCAGACCATAAAAATTGTATGCCGTTTGCTGGCATCTAGACAGCGAGAGTCAGGTTTCCCATCAAGAGTCAAGTTTATCTCATGCAACAGTCCGTGATTGCGAGGCAATTAAATTGACATGTCTGAAAGTTTGGTTGAAGTTTTGCATTTCTCCCATCATTGGTGTAATCTAGGTGAAAAGTGGGGCTGCTACTCTGTTAACTGAGCAGAGGGACTAGAAATGGTATTTCATTTAGGCGTCTCTCCATCCTTATCTTCTCTCTCCCTCCATATTGTAAATCTACATCTGGTGTAGCTGCAGCAAGAGACCTTAAACCAGGGAAGAAATCCACAACTGGCATACACCACCACCATTTGTTCTCTGCGGTGGCATTATGCCAATTTTACTCCAACTACAGATCTGACCTCTCGAGGGGGGATCTTTATAAGAAGAAAATTAAAGAATTCCTATGAATATGCCTAAACTTCCTTAGACATGCACAAAATAGCAAACACAAATCCCTTGCTGTGATTTTAGAAAAAAAATACTTACATTGTCTATGCAAATAAAGGAGAGATCTAGAAAAGCAACTGAAATTTTAACTAGCCTTTGTGATTTGCAAGCTGATGGCATATGCTAAGAGCATTGCCTTTGGACTCCAGTTGCCACCGCCGGCTCCCTGTACCTCCACAGAGGACATTTTTAAAGGCCAACACCATTTAAATAAGCAAAGGAGAAGCAGCAGCTCGTCTGCTCAGGGTATAGGAAAAGAGCTGAAATATTGCCTGCTTTTGGGGCTACTCAAATCAGAACATACTAAAACTTCTCATGCATCTGTATTGGCTTTCTTAAAGCACCAACACAGATTTAAGCAGTCATTAAAGTGTGTTATTGGACTAACCCATCACGGAACGCTGCTATGGAGAAGACAATCTCTGCGATTGGTTTTAAGAAGAGGTTACTGCAAAAATGGTGCTTTCAATCAGTAGTATACCCCAACACAGAAAGACACTGCCGAAGATAAGACAGTTTAACTTCTCACTCACAGCTAGCAGGAGGAAAACAATTTCACACTCATTGAAAACTCATTTTTGGTCCCCAAAAACAACCTGAATACCTTGCAAGAAGCACAGACTGTCCAGTCACTTTAAACATACATAGGAGCAGGCAGTGAGGTAGCAGAGGGATTTAATTCTCCCCTCAGAAATACAAAACTTCTTTACCAGTGGGTGACACGATCCCGCCCAAAACATAAAGACTAAATTTTTCTTCTGAATAGCAGCATTGCAGTCCCCCACAGGATGTGCCTGGGAAGAGGGAGAGGAGTATTATTCCATTAAAGAAAGAAATCTAGCCCAAATTTTGCCCCTGTTGAGTGGGAGATCTCTGCAAAACTCTACAAAGTCAAATTATGGCCAAACATTGACAAAACCAAAAAAAAGTATCACTGGCTGCCTTTAGGCTACAAATCAACTTGCCAAACCTTTTAAATCCCTGGTGCTGAGAAAGTTCAGAATGAGTCTGTACATGAAATGTGCATTCATGAGTGAATGCAGACAGAGTAGTCCTAGAAATCAGTACACCCACAAAGCTGACATCTCCAAAGAGAAACTGAGAGGGATTGCTATAGAAAGGTGGGACTGAGAATTTGCTTCTGGTGTTAAATGATATTTAGGAAAGAAACCTCTGCTTATTTAGCAATTTAAACAGGTAATACTCCAGGGAGAAAGTAGAGGAGGAAGGGTCATATTTCTATACTTTTTATTGCTTGATGTTAGCTGTGAATCTAGCCTAGAGAGACTGATCACCAAGCAAAACCTTCATTCTGTTGAAGAAAGTTTTGCAAGCCTTTCTTAAGTGCTTTCCAAACAGAGAAACAATTGGCAAGAAGTCCCTTTCTTTGCACAGCAGCTTGGGAGATCTTTCATTTATTATCAGAAGGTTTCTGTGTATTTTCGCTATGTAGTTCTTGCTTCCAGTACTCACAAGCTCTGGTTTTGTGTCCTCCTCACTTGCAGGTGGAAGCACGCCTCCTGGCATAACTGCACCAGCTGTGCCTAGCATCCCATCTCCAATTGGGGTGAATGGTTTCACTGGCCTCCCGCCGCAGGCTAATGGGCAGCCCGCCGCTGAAGCCGTGTTTGCTAATGGCATTCACCCTTACCCAGGTAAGTCAGACCAGTGTTGTTCCCACAACCTGCTCCGTCAGTCTCAGGGAGATTGTCCACACCCACAGGCTTCATCTACCATGATCCACCTCAGAAGGATTTACTTCCCACACCACTGGCACTTACTTTAGCATTGATGTAGTTATATCTTGCCCAGCTACAGTTGCTATACACTTAAATCTGGATGAGATGCACCAAGGGCATGTTGGATGTAAAAAATCTTTATGCAAAAGAACTGAGTGCTCATCTGCTGGATGACTTGTCTGGTGAATACAATCAGGACACCCAGGATGTTCTGCTTTAGCTAAAATTCAGTCTGAGTCCTGACTAGTTCATACTGACATATCTTCAAGCAGCACTCCCAATGGTCTTGCTCCTGGCTCACCTTGAAGGAGCTTTGCTAAGCCTGTTTGCATCTCCTAGCACCCACCATTAGTATCTCCCACTGGGATTCTGTTGCAGCTGGATGACTCTGAGAGGTTGAGTCCAGGGGGTTCACATGGCTGCTGACCAAAACTGCTCCATGCCTCAGACTATGTGTGCAGGCAGCATGTGTTGGTCCTGAAATGCTCACTGCATCCAAACCCTATTGCCTTACCAGGCCTGGAGACTGAAGCTCCTAAAGGAGCCACGGAATGGGCTCAGCTTCACCTCTTTGTGACACACCACCAGAGAACTGCTGCTGGGATACAGACTGTGACTAGTTCAAAAGATGCCAGCATTGAAGGAGTGATTTTGCAAGCCCTGGCAATCAGAAGTGAATGAGGGAGGTTAAAGGGTACATACCTGCCTCTATACCTGTACTTAAGTATATGGACACTCTCATGCTGTAATCACCAAGAACTCAGGAGTCTACAAGGCCTTAATGAACACCTACATGTTTTCAGCATCCTCAATATCTGAGGTAGCTGTCTACTCCAAGCTGTACTTCTGCTAGGAAGACATCCCTTACTATCACCATACTCATACTAGTAATAACAATTATAACAGTAAAAAATATAAATAAATGTAGCTAATTGATCCTAGCCACCAGCTGGCAAAAGAGTATTTCATTCTGGGGCACTCATAGATTGATCTAGTTCATTAGGAAATCAAATACTGACTCAGATCTCCAGCCAAAAAGCCCACAAACCCCCTAAGAAAATGAATTCTTTCAATCTCACCAGTCCTGAAAACTCAGAAGATTCAACATCACTGGGGACTTTGTGAGCTATAAGGAAAAATACCACGTAACGTAGAGATAAAAAGTCTTGCCTGGTTACAGTTCAGACAATGTCAGTGAAAAAAACACCCTGTGGATGCAGCAAAGCCCGGGTATACCCAGAGAACTGAAAAATAATTATCATCCTCCACACACACACTTTGTAAACATTCAGCTGTGAGTTCAGCTTTAAGCAGAATTGAAATCAAGTGCCTTACTGGGCTAAAAGTTAGGCATGTATGTACATGTTTGTAGCAGCTTAGAGGGATGGGGAGTTCTTGGAGGCTTATGGGAGCATTAGAACACATTAAAGCCCTTATGCTCAGTGAGCTCAACCATAGCACCCTGTCTCTAAGGTTCTATAAATATAACAATCTGTTTGACTATCCATCTACCTGTTTGCCAGTCTACCATCTCTCTGTTTATTCATCCATTTCTATCTTTTTCCTGGTTTATCTAGCTCCTTTTAGGTAATCTTCCATGATCCATTACTGCAGATATCAGAGAAAAGATGATCATTCTAGATGAATCTTAGCAACTTCAGCTTTTGTTACTATCTCAAACTACCCCCCATTATTAAAACAAGCTTTCAGTTAGGCATTTCATCTGTGATTATATAAAAGTCAATGGCCTTAGTCTGATTCTCTCTGAGTTGAGGAGAGACTTGCTCAGCCAGCAATTCACAGTAAGGCCCTGCACAGGTACCAGCAGCTCAACACACTGAAAGGTGACAGTCAGCCTTGCTCTGCTTTGCTGCAGGCAGAGGCCCCTTTCTGCCAGTAAAGCTGACATTCAGGTAGTCTGCTTTGTGTAAAGTTTCGATTCATCTCAGTGTGTCTTCAGCAATATATTGGTCTTTCTCGGTGCTCAGCTTCCCTGTAACTTAATGACATCTAAAGTTACACAGAGGTGTAAAGGGAACAGTGGTAAGCCATACCCTCACCTCTCAGTTTACTTCTGCCTGTCCACACGAGCAATGAAACCCTGAAAGCAAGCTCCTTTGTAGCAGTTTGGCTGTAGCTCATGAGCATCACGTTTGCTCTGTCTTATTCTCTTCCTTCTCATGAGCATTTATGCACTCTCCCAAACGTTACTTCTTGCTACAAGCTTTATTGAGGCCTGGAGCTTAGCAGCATTTAAAAAAATTGATTAGACATTTGTATGGGTAATGAGAACATCCACAGCCATATTAGACTGGATGAAAATGTAGGAAGGACACAAACCTTTATGCTTTATGATGTAAGACAGCCACTAATTGCTTGGGATTAGAAAGAAATTTTCATCACTGGGCAGCTTATTCCATCATTGTTCATTATGGGATTTTTCACACTTTCCTCTGTAGCACTTGCTATTGGCACTGCCCTGTGATTCTGCATGTCAGTGTTTCCAAATGCAAGGGTAGAAATAAAATATTAAAGCTCAGCATGCAATTGTGCTAATGTGAGAAGAAAAGAACGTGCCAGCCCCCATCCAAAGCCAGCATCTTCCAAACAACTTTATTTTATGGTATATCTCTCATTCTCAAAGTGGCTAAGAGTGTTGTGGTATTATATACATAACCATAGTCTTGCTATGATTGTGGCTTGCCATGTATTGTTTAAAGCCTGAATTTTGCTCTCAGATACTCTTTCATACTCCACAAAAATCTCAAATGTGGGCTCACACCATTCTATGCTGTAACAGAATGTTCTTTGCTGCCTGAAAATAGCAAACACAGAACTATCAAAATCTATAGAGGCATGACATACACATAATTCAGACCCAAATAAATCCCATTAATTGTGCAGTTTGTCTACACATCCACCTTTGTGTCTAGCTATAATATTTTTGTGCTACATCTAAAGGACTTCAGAACTGCACAGTCTTTGCACTATAAAAACAGGTCCATATCATGTAACTGTATTTACTCTGTAGTCTCATTCCTTTTTTTTCTTTCTGTCTTCCCCTGAGCTCTTTTTTTAAGATTCCCATTGTCTGGAGCAGGGACACACATGGTGACATTTGATTACTGAACCATCCATGGCTTTGAGGCAAAGGCAAGAGCAGGCTGAAAGTCCTGACTCACCAGGTCTCTGATCACATCCCCAGTCCATGCAGGAATCAGATATTTCTGTGGCTCTGGCCGGGTTGTGGGTCCATGCAGCAGCACTAGAAAATCATTCTTTGTAGGCATACTCTTTCCAAGCCATGCTCGCAACTTCTACAAGATCAGCCAGTACATAATGCCTCATAGTGCACCTTTTGGCATGGACAGAGAGGAGTAAATATTTCCCCTTCTACTAGTTTAAGCTTCTTTGGCGATTTGACCTTTTTGTGTATGAATGCCTGCCCTTTGGTCTTTCAGCTTGCAGAGCTACTGAACATGGCAATGTGTCACAACATATAGTTGGGACAAAAAGCATAGTCTGTTGTGCCATGATCTTGTGAGTCACTTTGCAGCAGCACAATAGCGCTTGCCATTTCCACATTAACCATAGTAACAGGAATTGTGGGTTTCTGCCAAATCTCCTTACCCACCCATCGCCCAGTGCCTCTCTCATAACAGTGTGTGATGTACAATAACAGTGGAGACCATCTGCACTGGTTTGTGCTGTGTCTCACACCATCAGCACTCTGCTCTCCAGTAACAGGTTCTGTGCTACTGGATTGCGTTGTGAAAGACTGGATGAAATGCTCGCTGCAAAAATAAAGCCTCCTTGGGAAGGGAAAGGGAGGGAGAGATGAGAAAATGGAGAGACCAAAGGGCAGGAAGCAAGAGAGAGGAGGGATTGGCTGTCAAAGGAGCAGTGAAACCAGGGAACTGGAAGGAGGCAGAAAGCAGACCCCTCAGAAAAGACTGAGCACTGCTTTGTAATCTTCTGCCCACTGATGTGCGCAGAAAGAAGCAGTAATACACCCCATAGCATCCAATAGCTCCAGACAAAATTATACCTCGTGGGCTGAGGGATGTCCAGTTTGACCAGAGCCAGGGATGGAAACAGTGGTATGGCAGCTTCGTTGAAGCTCAGGCATGGAATGCTTTCCAGGATGCTAAGTGCTTCAGTGCATTTGCTGAGGAAAACAAAAGCAAAGTTCCCTCAGTTGCTCATAATACATTAAAAACATGTCATCTCTTTTACTGTTCACAGGCACACAGTGGTTGCCCACCACTGCCAGGACTAGCTCTGTCTGTCCTCTCTACAGAGACAGCAGAGGTTCCCCCACTCCTCTTTGGTTACACTGTGGGTACATCTGGGCTAGCAAGACAGCCAGCTCCACTCCATGCCCTTCTTGGGGTTCAGCCCTCTCAGGTGAGGACTAGCTGTCAGTACAAATGGGCAGCCAAGCTTTTATGCCCACATATTTTCAAGTTACTGCTGAGATTGACAGTAAAGGTGTCCCCCACGGGTGAATTCCTGTGCTGTAGAAACTCATGTCTTAGGAACTGAACCGAGACCACCAATTCATTTTCCTTGGCTCAACAAATTGCTATCAGGCAGCAACCAGCTTCACCCATTGCCAGCAGAGACAGGATTCAAACTCTGTCTGTAATTATTATCATTACACAAGCTAATTTTGTAGGGGAGGAGTTGCCGGTAGGCTAATATGACAGGCTTATCTATTAGCTTTTCAATTGGCTAGCAGTGCTGCTGATGGGCAGGGTGCTGCTCTAGACCAGTCTGTCCCAGGATCTTCCATGTTCTTCCCTGTGAGGGTGCTGAGGTGCTGGCACAGGGTGCCCAGAGAAGCTGTGGCTGCCCCATCCCTGGCAGTGTTCAAGGCCAAGTTAGACATAATCTAGTGTGAGGTGTCCCTGCCC